TACCACCCCACTCCCCAGTATTCTTGACAGTTGAAGAGCTAGAACCCCAAAGATGAAAAGTAAAATAATATGAGTAATTATGAAGATTGTTTCCTTTTGGAAAAGGAAAGCACATAGGAAACTCATTTGGTTTACATTAATTTGCTACATATTGCTCACATGTGTACAGTCTGATTAACTCCAACTGGTTACATGAGTCTCTGAAGAATTTGTTTGTTTGTCAGAATGAAAATTCAGAGTGGACCTACTCTCTGAAATTCCATGGCAAAATAATGGAGGTATTTATCTAGATGTCAGACAATTAGCTAAGTGTATCCACCCTGCTATTCCATGTATGCCAAACTGTAAAATACATAAATAAAAGCATACAGATGACTTGTTGATTCTCCTAAAAAGCACATTTGACCACCCCTCTGCTCACTGGTTTCATTGTCTGGCTCAGTGAGCTTTTGATCCTCCTTTGCACAGAAAAAACGTTTAATTTTATACACAGTAAATGGGCAACTAGACAAAAGAAATGTAACTCCCAGAAAAGCCTTTAACTTTCCAAGAATCTTTTCCCTGAACAAGATTATGGAAATACTTTCAGTAAGTATTAAGTATTTCAGTAAGAACTATCTATGCAAGCTTTGCTGTGCTAGTCCGTGAAGGCTATGGAAGGAGAAAAGGGGAGGATAGATGGATCTTTAAAATAAATGGGTTTGGACCTTTGTCTCGACACTGATCAGAAACAGAAAATGGACTGCTGTATTAAGTCACAAAATTATCTGGTGTGGAGAACAGGTAAGAATAAAGACAAATATTTACCCACCTTGACTGGTAACTTGTGGGTTTTGGTAGTTTGAATGTGAAATGTAAAACATCTTGCAAAGGAAAGAATTTGCTAATATTGTTTATGCTTATGACAACTTTGAAGAATATACTATCTGGAGAATGTAAATTTCCCCTGGTGCTTGTCCTGAAAAAATACAGCCTCCTACATATTCTGAAACTCTGATAGTTAACTGAGACAGAGGGGAAAAAATCCCAAGTATTTTACATAAGAATTCAATTGAAATTGTGGTAATGCTGTGGCAATTTAATAAGGTAAACTGGAATAAGGAAAACAAAAGTTCAACACTTATACAGCACTTTTTAATCAGCCCTATTTCTACCTAGATTTGCAGGATAACCTGTTAAAGTAACAGATACAAGTGCTGCTTCATATTTCAGTTTTACAACAGGATCAACGAAAGCATGCACGTGGTGGTTGGTTCCTTTTTAACTTTAACCTTTATGTGTTTCTAAGAGCAAAAGCCAGCCTGAAACGCATGCCTACTGATACTTGAAAGCCTTTAAAAAAAAAAAAAAAAAAAAAAAATCTACTTTAAGTGTATGGCCACCTACATACAAGCACATGCAGCACAGCTATACGCACCCCTGTATTTGAGGGCATTTTCTACCACACATGTTTGTTATACAATTTTCACATAGTCATAACTATGTTAAATCAAAGCCAACTGATGTCAATGCTAAAATGCTCAGAAGCCCCACAGCGAAGCATCTTTACATTTGGGAAGTGTTAATGTGCAATATAAACATTTTGCCTTCCAAAGCCACCATGTATACCAGAATGTCAAAAGCAATTAATACAACGTGCACGGATACACACGCACACAGACATATATACAGAATAGTCTCCAGTGTATTTTTACATGAGTATAACCATTGTGCTGGGAGATCCAGGACAAGGGGAGATCCCCCTCCCCCTTTGTAAATATATTGCTGTTTTCAGTGAGAATATATGCTGTGTAGGAACAGTGAAAGGACTTTTTTTTTTTTGGTCAGCAGTTTAAAAATTGTAATATATCCTTTGATGAGGGTTTTTTTTTATGTTACAGGCTTCCACGAATGGAAGGAAATACATGTATTTTCAGCATGAGAGCCATCCTAGTTCCATGAATGGACTCTTACTGCCCAGCTCCCCTCCTTGAAGAGCTGAGTTGTTATGCACAGTAAGGAATAAACCAAGTAGTAAATTTGGTACTACAGGAACTATCAGCTTAATGACTTATCGCTTTCCTCCAGAGGAGCTGGGGCGAGGGTAAATGCAAGTAACAAGCGACACTGGTATAAGGTAAGGGCTTGAGCAACTCCTCCAAAGATTAACGTAAAGCAGCTAGTGCCTTCCCTCTTGGGCTACATAATGGCTGTTGCGTTTGTCTCATGTAAATGACCACCCTTCTGTGCTAATACAGTATTAAAGCCAAAAGCAAGCGTTAGAAAATAAAACCCAATTCTGTGCAGCCACTGCTGTGCAGCTGAGCTCAGTGTGGCCTTTCTACAGATGGGGAAAAGGACCCATGAAGCTAGAGGAAAACTTTACTAAAAAACAAGGAATGTTTAAGAAGAAAAAATAATAATAATAGAGAAAAAAAACCTTGCATGCTGGACCTCTGTAAAACCCTACTCTCATATTTATTTTGTGATACAACCACGAGACAAGCGGACAAACACAACCTCCCACAGTCAGAACAAGACTCGCTCTTTCCTCCATTCCCTCGCTATGTTCACAGCACAGAAACATGGCCTCTTCCCCGCTCTCAAGAGCTGCATGCAATACGCGGTGGCTTGGCCTGGTCCACGATCTGCCGGCTATGCTATCTGGCACAGGGAAACGGGAGAAGCAATAGGGGCTTGCCATCTAGTAATTATAATTTTGCAACTCCACATATGGAATTTGGCATTGACAGGTAAACGGAGAAAAGCCACAAGCACAAATGTTCTCATTATTTTCACAGGTCGGATTTCTCACTAGCTGTAAACAATCAGAAAAGAACCCATCTAATGAATTATGCAGAACCTGTGTTGCTTTTTCCATTAACAAAACAGCTAAATAATCTTGGCGGGGGGAACAAAAACCTGCCTTGTATCACAGGGCTAATCAGTACCCCTGGAGTTGCAAATCATATTACACAAACGTTGACGTAGTGATGGATGAACCTGAATTCTTGCAGAGGTTGCATTTAGTCAGCTACAGAAAGCACCTTTGCGTTAGCACCACAAGTCAGCGGTCAAATCTTCTGCTTCTTATTTCCTGCGAAGTGAATCACAAATCTTCCCTAACCCCTGTTACCTTATGAGGTAGGGGCAGGCAGGAGCGGGGGTTTATGCTGTGATGGCAGCAAGACATTGTCATCATAACATAGGGAATCAACCATTGTATTATGCACGAAGAAAAAGACATTTTATTTTGTCTCAGTGCGTTTATTATTTTATTATGCCGAAATACAATGCCCCTTTTCACCCAGAGAATAATTGACAAATGCATTATTTCCCAATGCATTGCCACAAAGCTGGAATGAGTTAAAATGTGCCTGCAAGAAATCCTCTTAAGCCAGTATGACCTGCTATTTTTACTATTACATTTCAAGCGATTAACATGCCCGTTACTTTAAGGCAAGTTATAAGCAAAATACTGTTTGTTTGCCCAGTAGCACATACCTTAAGCACAGACAAAGGCAAATCAGCGTGGCCTGGGTATCTATTTACTTTACCTGGCATATGGAAAAGCCTATTGCAAATGTTCACAGTATGAACATCTAAATGCGCTGCAATTCCCCTTGGAAGATGCATCTAGAACCCACCCAGGGGGCTCAGCTTTCCCTAACAGGTTTTTGGCTGTTATATTAGTGGTGATTATTAATTAGGGACATACAGAATCTTTCTTTAAAAAAAACAAACAAAACCCACATTTGTATTCTAAACAACAAGCCCAAAGTAAAAAAAAAGAAAAAAATGGAAAGCAATTTTTGCTGCCTTACACTGATGCAAACAAAATGTCACACTTTGCAGCTTACTAGAGATCTTAATCTGGCAGAAGCCTTCCTGTAGAGTGAAGTAAAGAGACTGATAATGACTTGGGTTTTGTGTGTACCATTATGTACTAACTTTTTTTTTTTTTTTTTGCGCAAGAGAACTGGTAACCTAATAGTTTTCAGAAAAATGTATGGAGTTTTAAGAAATCTGGACACCAACATTTTGTGGCATACCTTGACAATGAAATTGCAAGAGCAGCTTCTCCACTGTATCGTACACGATTTACAACGGGCGCATAAATCTGATAGCCTTTAGACTGCCAAGTCAAAATACCAGCAGAGGCAAGAATGAATTATAACCACCTAGACCTTAAAAGCACAGGTGTTTCCTCTGCACTGCCACATGGGTCTTGCTAATCCACTCCCATGACACGGAAAGGTTTTTCCACTGGCCTGAAACATGCTGTGGAAAACAGGATTCAACACCGAATGGCTCAAGCAGAAAAGCACATGCAGCGCATTCTCATATGACCTGCCACAGCTTGTGGAAATCACTGTGTGTACCAGAGCATGAAGGCAGAGTGAAATGTTTAATGTCAGCATCGTTGCTGCTCAGCTTTACTGTACTTCAGAAATGCGTAAGTAATGCTTCTGACCTGGGGCACCCCAAGTGCTGCTATCATAAATATCACAAATACTATGAAGATACATCCAAGGGGAAAAATAAAAAAAAAAAAAAGGAATTTTTTTCCACAGTTTGAGGTTTATGCTTCCAGTTTCAGATTAAACTTCTGCGTATTTCTGCCTGTACTACCTTTGCTGATACTAAAAAGTAACTTTCCTCATTTATTGCCTCTTAATAGGCAATAAAACCCTTGGGGTTTATTGGGAATTCAGTTTCTAAATGTTTTAGGATTGCTGGAAAGTACAGAGGAGAAATATAAATAGGTTAAAACAAAAGAAGAATAATGTATGCTCACTCAGGCTTTCAACACATACCAAGGACAACAGAATTCTACAAGAGACGAGAGAACAAAGGGGAAAAAAAAAAAAAAAGAGCCTTGACTAGTTGCCAGCACAAAATGGGCTGCACTCACACCGACCATCAAGAAACCCTACAAGAATCTGAATCCCTTCTGCACTCTCACACTAGGATTAGAGCAGGGACACCCCATCTTCGCCCCACAGTGAACTACATGTTACCTGTGGAGTCAAATATAATGGGCTGGCAGTTTCTGTTTGAATTCCAGTTACATTTGAGCACCTGGCCTCCTTCTACGATGTTGTGCTGGGTAGTGTTTGCTTTTGGGGCTCCCACCAGAAGAAATATCCTGCAGTAAAAAGAAGAAATAAAACAAAGGTTTTGTCAACCTAAGGCACAAACGTTGTTGCTTTATGACATCTGAAGCGTTAATAAAGCAAAAGCTTTTCCCCATTCAAATCTTAATCTAACTAGAACTACTTCGAGTTTCAGAGAAACTTATATTAGGTTTTAGGTCTTTTCTGCAAGCAAAAGGAGGCAAAACAAAAAAAAAACCCAAACCACACCCACATTTACCAAAAAGAAGATAAGAGAAAATTAAAGTATTCTGTCTACTTAAAATTGTATTTAAAATGAGATAAACACCTTTCATATTCTTTTTTGCCCTTCAAAAACATGTACGTATGCAGCGGAAGAGATAATCATGTACTTCTGTAATTTAACAAAAGTCACCGGCTGGCATAATTTCTGGTTAATTTTGTACGCAAGAGTAATTCAAGGAAGTCAGCCATAAATGGAAACAATATATAAACAGAACAGTAGTGCTTCTGAGCTCTGAAGGTACTAAGTGGTGAGTCAGCCCAGCACAAGCAAACGCTCTGTTAAAAAGAATCTCCAAGTACCCAAGTGACTGTCAACCACACATTTGTACATTAATGAATCTTTACTGAAATTCATTACACAATAATAATTTCCTTATTAAGATCTGTTGTGGTTTTATAAATCTCTGTTTATATGAACATGTTAAGTGCACTCTGAGCAGGAACTGCTATGAGATGATGCCTGTGCAGGTGGTAAAATTCAGAAGTTGCGAAGTCAGAAACAGACCGAATAAAAAGTCAGACCGAACAAGGTTCTTAGCATCTTCCAACAAGGTTATTAACATCTTCCAGGAACCCTGACACCTCTGAGACACACTTGACTCATTAGAACTTTCCTGAAGAAGTCAATTTGAAATATAGACAAAGACATAAAGAAGACGTAAAACTAAATGCTTCCTTTCATCCAAATCTTGTCTGTTGTTTACATTTAGACTGTTTAGGAGAGAAGATAGCTTGCAAGAGCAAACATTATAATTCCGCATCAGGCATTATGGTTATTTAGTGTTGAAATTGGGTTAGCTGAACAAGCTGCAAGACTGGTTGGAGAGAACGTCTGCAGGTAGGCAGATCCAGACTTCTCAAACTTGCTCTGGTTTTCACAGTCATCTTCCAGACTTGACTTCAGTACAGCGCTTAACATGTAAATACCAGGTATAAACACATAGCACCTCATCAAAACTCAATTCGTACGAAGGCCAACATAGGCTACTAGTTTTCAACTCATTTGAATTTGCAAAACCTTAAAAATTTCCTGGTGTGAATGACAGAAAATCTAGCCTAGCCGGCAATCCATTTGTTTCCCTGAGTTGCCATTCATAGATTCTCTAGATTCCAAGAACAAAAATTTGAAATGCTTTAATCAACTTAAAAATATTCTCTCTGGGCATAACAGAAATGCTTAAAAATAAACATCATAATGCCAAGTAAAGAAACACATTAATTATTATAATTACAATCTATTAAACAAGTGGCAGCTTGCCTCCCACTTTACTCTCGTATCACTAGCATTTGAGAAGCCCCCCCCAATTAAATACTTGTTTAAAAAAATAAATCATTCCTATTCATCTATTTTAAACTTTCTTAAGATAATCGTTATGATGAAGTTTATTAACAAGATTACCGAAAAAGGAATCATTATGGGACTCCAGAAAGGCTTAGTCACTTCTTTTCCAAAAGCAAAAAAAAAATAAAAAAAATTGGCATTTTAGCATATTTTATCATATGCGTGATGATAAATGATTTACACTGATCATCATAGACGAAATGAGCAGATTTTGTCATAGATCTTATAATAATATACAAATTACCTAAATACAAAGAAATCTCTAATCCACATGCTTTGGGAAAGGGGGAAATCAAGGGAAATGCATTATTTCCAAGGGACTACGCCAGCTATGCTTTGCTTCTGCCGATCTCCTATATGATGGACCCATCTGCCCCAATATAACGCTGTGGACAAGCCTGGGAGCATACAGACACCCTTGGCAGTTCGACCTGCACAGGTCTACTTATGGGAGGAATGACTTGCCAGTGCTCTGCCACGGGCCAGTAAAGAGAAACTGGTATTTCCATGTACTCATATACTGGAAGACACACTATCAAATGTGGGTATGAGAAACCTTTTTCAGTTTTTATAAAGTTATGGTCACTTAGCATTATAGCTACGCCCTCTGTCAGGCACCACATTGTGCCCTGACACAAGGTTACCACTTTGACTCCTGGAATAGGTCTTTCATACTGGACTTCTAAATATGCTTTATTTCGGTATCCAGCAGGTCAAAACAGACGATGAAACAGCAGCTTGAGTGTTCAAGAACTAGTAACACTCCTTTGTTGTAAGGCTAGTCAATCCAAACAGCTTTGGCTTGACTAGATTCACTTAATCTCTAGTACTAGTGTAAAAAAACAGATGAAATTCACCAATTCACCAAAGCAACAACAAAGGTGTAGGACCCAAGTGACACACATGACACTCAATAGAAACCATGTAACAAGGCTCATTTTACTGAACACCTTTTGCTAATCCCGCTGCAAAACAGTTCGCTCAGCTTTCTACCTAACACCGACTGTGGACGTCACCAAGCTCGCTGTTCATCACTACTTTTCTTTCCCCTCCTACAGCTTGAGGGATTCTGCAGGCATTCCAGTCTGCCTGGTGCGCGTTGAGCCTTCTTCAACAATGGGGAAGACACAGGCCAATGTCTGCAGGACACGGCACACAAGCGTTTCTGGCTATTTGAGGAGGTAAAAAGACCAGTCTCCATAGGCACAAACTCGAAATTTAATACCCTTAGAGCCTGTTCCTGTAAAAGTTGCATAGCTACTTTGTTTCAATTATGAGCTTAAATTTAAGATAAAGCGGGTACTAGACTTCAGCTTAGCAGATACAGACTAACTTCCCTTAAAAATATGAAGGACTCTTCCGTGCTGTCTGAAAACCACTAGTGTTCAAAGTTTAAAAAAAAAAAAAAAAGAAGCCAACACTGTTTTCATTTACAGCTATGCACTCTGAGGTCAATAGTTGTTATAAAAATAATGGAAAAATTCCAAGTGGTGATTTCAACAAGAGCTGGGTCACATCATTCCTTACTGGAAAGCAAGCAAGAAAGTTTACTACACACACTTACCAGTCTCCCAATAACTCTGCAGCCACACACGCTGACTTAAAAGTAAAGGGAGGGTCACAAATAGAACCTTTTTTCTTTTAGTGCTAAGACTTACAGGATTAAGATAGCACAGAAAGATGTTGCGACACATGCAAGTTAAGACAGGATGACTTCTAATATTTGCAGGCAATAAATAAATGCAAACAAGGCTAGCTGATGCCCTGGAAAAAGACTTGCTCAATAACTATAGAATTTGTTTACAAAGTTTTAGGGGAGAGAGAAGGAGAGAGAAAATCGACTCAGCATGACGGAAGCCAGCAGCTTTTCCAGGTTTACAGCCCTTTCTCAAGATCAGAAAGGAGGGGGGGGGGGAAGAAAGATGGATTTTACTGTAGCATGCACTTGAGAAATACGGCAATTCATTATGGCAACACCCCAACTTTGAAGTTAGTGACATGACTATTCAAAAATCTGAAACACACTGGGTCCTGCGCATTACTTCATTTTCATTTAACGTGAAATAAGGAACATATTTAGGAAGCAGATAGAGAGGGATGGAACTTTTTCTTCTCTAGGCTCCTCAACAGTTTTGCGCCCCGCGCAGATGCAGCACGACTCAAACGTGGCACTTCTGCAAAACTGAAATTTCACAGGACAAAACCTCAGGTGCGAGATGTAATGAAGCAAAACACCAAACCTTCATCTTTCTATACCGCATTTGTTATCGCCATTATTTGATAAACCGCAGACTGATAAGGCTATTCAGAAAATCCAGCAGTGTAAAGTTTATGCCGCACTAGAGAGCCCGCCGACGGCGTGGAATCAGAGTTTTGCTTCTCGGCAGAAGGGGCTCGGCCGCCAGAGCCGCCCCAGAAGGGCGAGGAGATGCGGCCGAAC